CTAGTATTCATAAATCCCTTTCAAAAATATGTTTCGGAATTTCAGATCGTTTCGTAAATTCTTCAATATAAATCTAAATTACTTAAGAAAAGAAAATAAGCTGACAACTACGAATTGATTTAATATAATACATTGATTTACGCTTTTACAAATCCTAACTTCGTGATCAAAAATATACTACTTAATTTCAAGTACAGTAAGATAATAAATTATGCAAAATATACTAGGATGGTACAAGCCATGATGTTGTGTGGGAGCTGTTTGCATTTGGCGTTGCAAATGTATATTTTGAAAAGCGTACCAGGTGAATAAACGCACATAACTCAGACAAACAGAAACTAACAAGTCCGTTCAGGAGACAGTGAACAGATCATCAGTTAAGAATATACCCACAAGAATGTCGTGTAAGACCGGTCTCAAGCAGTTGTCCCTCGAGCACTGCGATCACGCTCTCAGGTCACTAAGACTAACTCTAACCCAATTTCCTTTTCAGGTACATCTAGAAGAACCCTTCAACAGTGTGGGCAAGAGGGAAATGATAAACGCCGTCATACCTCTAACACAGCACTCATGACCACTGATATTCCATTCGCTTTGTGTCACTGAGCTGTAATTTGAGGATGATGGTAGAAATTTCCGTGCACATATTGCTGACAACTCAAAGAGTAGAACAGAATTCAAGCTTGTGGTTTGTTAATTTAAAATTCAGGCAGTATAACACTTGAAAGAATATTGAGTTTGCAGCGCACACAAACCAACAATATGTTAAATAGCGAGAAATTGTTGGGAGCACCGGAGGAGGTTAATAGATTACATCACAAACTAACTTCAGATGGAAATCCACTGAAAACCAGAGGAGCAGTGGGGGAATGTTTCTTCCTAGTATGGAGCTACTCCTCATTAGTGTACTTTCACAACCTCCACCGCCCCAGTGTTTGGCCTCAGGACCTTGATTAATTCAATTACTGATGTAAATTAACAAATACCAAAATGATTGTAGAAACCTAAAAGAATCGTGGATATAACACTGACCTAATTTTACAAGAAAATCATGCATTGCTGCACAGTATGTGGTTTTCCCACTACCAGGCGGTCCGATCACCAACTGTCCAAATAAATGTAGACCATTAGGGAATGGGTACGGTTTAGAGTCAGCTGACATCATCACATAATCAATATTGATTTGATTTTGATCACTAGAAGTATGATAGTATCTGAAAGAATAAAGAGAAAGAATTAAGTATCAGTTAATTAATAAACACTAGATATGTAGGTTCAGTATGTAAGTAGCAAAGCGCCATTAATGTGTCGGAGACCGGTTACAACAGTATGATGCACAGGAATTACAACATTCATTAAGCATGCACACATTAAAATACTAAGTACATAGTTACTTCACTCCGTAAGGTGGTCAGATGTATATTTACAGACTGTACCAGTATGGAAGAAAAACACAGATGCAAGAATTCTACGGGAATTCTATCACATTTGGATTCATGTCTATCCACGATTCCTGAAAATATTTATATAGATCCAATCTACTGGTTAACAATGATCAGGTTTATCAGTTACATGACGAGGTCTCTAAATGCCCTGGTATGGTCGAGTGTGGGGAGAGTCCACTCTCCTTCTCGAAATGCTCTCATATGGCCACGCGAATATATAGCCTCTGCCAGGGAAGTCCCACTCACTGCCTTCTCGTGGTTGGGGTATTGTTTAAAGAATCGAGAGGACGAAAATAGAATGTACGGCGCTTTAATCAGGTTGGTAGATATGGAGGATACACCTAGGGGAGTTGGAAAACCCTCATTCCAAACCAATGGTGAACATGGGCTCCAGTATCCTGAGGGAACAAATGGCGTATGAGCCTATTGTTGGTCATCGGTTACCATGAGACTGAATCTCCTTACGATGTTCTACTGCCTTGTACATCAGATCTGTAGGTCAAAGGCTCCGGGTGTGGCCCCTTAAGAAAACCACCTGTTTAGGTTTGGGCACTCAAGCAGTATCACAGCCCTCACACAAATCAAATGAGATTTGTGCGGCGCATATATATCTGGTGCTTCCTTGTACCAATATTTGTGTTTAAATAAAATAAAATAATAGACATATGTGCGCCACACAATCTCATTAGATTTGAGTGGGAGCTGCGATACTGCACGAGTGCTCAAACCTAAGCAGGTGGTTTTCTTAGGGGGCCACACCCCGAGCCTTTCACTTAAAGATTTGATCCACAAGGCAGTGGAGCATCGTAAGGAGATGCAGTCCCATGGTAGCCGGTGACCAACAGTTGGTTCATACGCCATTTGTTCCTTCAGGATACTGGAGCCCATGTGCACCATTGGTTTGGAATCAGAGTTTGCCAACTCCTCTAGGTGGATCCTCCACATCCACCAACCCGGTTAAAGCGCCGGACATTCTTTTTTCGTCCTCTCACTTTTGTGAACAACACCCTCGCCACGAGAAGGCAGTGAGTGGGACTTCCCTGGCAGAGGCTATATATTCGCGTGGCCATATGAGAGCATTTCGAGAGGAAGAGCAGACTCTCCCCACTCTCGGCCATACCAGGGCATTCGGGGGCAGCACATATATCTGGTGCCCCTTTGTACCAATATTTATGTTTAAATAAATAAATTACATGACAAGAGCTTATCCTAGTAAAAAATTCAATGGAGATCTGTATGCAAATGTAGAGAACCAATGACCAACAGAGTCATCAGAACAGATTGATTTAAGAATTTTGTGATAACGTTCGACTATATTTAAAGCAGGGAGAGTGACGATGCTGCCCAGTAGGGCCATGAAAAGGGTTATCATAAAAAGTAGGAACTATAAAATCAGAAGACACAAGTGGCCCAAAAAGTAACTTTCAAATTATGAGACAGAATAAAACAAAATTAATCGATTCGCCGTCAACAATTCGTGATATACTACTTGTCTTGTGAATTCTTAGACTGTCACCTATTTAGTGATTTCGATTTACAAACTAGGTTGAGGCCCATAAATTCAATTGCGCAGCGATATCTAAATATATTACTTATGAGTAGCTACTTTCGCAGTGGATAATCTAACCACATCCTATTGGTCAACTAATATCTATCACGGCATGTGGAACTATCCACTATTCCTTCTTTGTCTGTGCTTAACGCTGAGGGTTTGTTACTGATTTCATCGACTGAAATGTAAAATGTCTACTTTATACTGGTCATAAAATATAGAACCATAAGTGTATACAACTACACAAAATAAAGATCATCTGACGTTATACAACCTTGGGTGCATTTATTCAGATGAAAATAACAACTGAATTATTGTTTAATGTCATTAATTTTCAAAGTCTTTAATCATTTTCAATGCTGCAATTCGCACAGAAGAAATTCCGTGTTAATTTATGCTATTAACTTAAAATGCGCAAAATGTATCCTTAAAATCATGAGTTCACAACTTAGTTTTCTACTTTCATTGAATAAATACGTAACGCCTCGTACTCCCTTAATAGTTACAAATGACAGTTCTTTGACAGTATTTCACCATCTACTCTTCCAGACTAAATTTCTAAAGCATTTATTAAGACGGTAATGTTTTGTATACTAATTCAATATTTTTAAAAAGATAACCCCAAAGAACCAAGGATAATATGGGATAGTAGGCGAGACTCAGACTTTTTTCTGTTACTTAGCTAGGATAGATAAGATTATCATAGCATGTGTGAAATAGTTCACAATTTCAAAGATTTCATACTAATTGAGTCAGGTTTCATACAAGTGCTGACTAATTCTGCATTTATTCAATAGATGAATGGTGTTTATTGTAAGATTTTCATTTAGAATGTACACATTCCATAGTTGACATTATGAATTTACCTTCTAGACATTGTGGACTGAAAATCACTAGACAGTTGTCTCGTTCTAATATGTATGCAACTTCTCAGCAACGGATGCTGTGGATTGAACGACATAGGACTTTTAGGTTTCTCAGCATTTCTTACTAAGACGAAACAGATTTCCTTTGCAAGTTGATTTTAAATAGTTTTCCAACTGACGTTAGTCTCTGATATAAAATGCAACAAACTTCTACCGGTAATGTCTACATTTTTCTATGATCTTAAACCTGGTGATAATGTACTATTTGCATATAATGTAAATAAATAAAAATCTGTGAGAAAAGCATTAGTTCTTAGAAGGTTGGAATTAAACAAGTAATGAGGACTGCTTGTAAAATTACCGTAAGAAAAAACATACACATTTATTTAATGATAACAAAAAAAGAAGTGGTAGTAGAAATATACACATATATTGACAACTGATCAAAGTATATTTACAAAATTAGAAGATGAACATCAAGATATTATTATTCTGCAAATGGATTAGCATGGATTGTTATATTTTGTATATGAATATCTGTTAAGGGTCTATAAGTTTTTTCTTCAACAGGTGAACGCTCTAATTCATCCAAAACATCCCATCCATCAATTACTCTGAGCAATAATTAAACACAATAGAAATAATAATAATAATAATAATAATAATAATAATAATAATGGATTGAATTATAAAATATGAGATGATGGTTCGTTTGTATGTAAAGACAAAAATAAGATAAAAAAATACGTAGAAACACAATTTATTACATACCCTTATCTGATTCCAGTAACGGCACTTGACATAATCAAAAGATAAGTGATTCTACACGTCACGCTGTTAAATGCCCTGGTATAGTCGAGTGTGGGGAGAGTCCACACTCTCTCGAAATGCTCTCACATGGTCACGCGTATACAACCACTGCCAGAAAAGTCCTACTCACTGCCTTCTCGTGGTGGGGAGTGTTATTTACGGAATTGAGAGGACGAAAAGAGAATGTCCGGCACTTTAACAAGGTTGGTGGATATGGAGAATCCACCAGGGGGAGTTGGAAAACCCTCATTCCAATCTAATGGTGAACATGGGCTCCAGCACTCTGAGGGGACAAATAGCGTGTGAGCCCACTGTTGGCCACCGGATACCATGGGACTGCATCTCCTTACGTTGCTTCACTGCCTTGTGGACCTGATCTTTAGATCACAGGCTTGGAGTGTGGCCTCCAAAGAAAACCACCTGTTTTGGTTTGAGCACCTGGGCAGCATCACAGCCCTTACTCAAATCAAATGATTTATGTGGTGCATATCTATTTGGTGCCTCTTTGTACCAATGTGTATGTGTTAAATAAATAAATAAATCAAACAAGTCTACAGTTTACAACTTTGGATTTAAAATAGAGGTTTAAATGCCGTTACTTCAGAGTGTGAATCGAACTATTTTCAGTACTAACTTAATATTTAGTTTACAGTGAATTTGAACTAATTTCTTTGATCATTTATAACAAACTTTAATCTTCATAAACCAAGAGTTGTTGAAAACAAATTGAACTTGATTAAAATACTTATATTAAAATAGATTGTGGAGGTTTAAGAAACTATTTGGTGGAATTCGAACTTGGTACCTTAGTTGGAGGCTCAGTTGCTTCAATCATAAAGTCACTGGTCACGTGAAACATAAAAAATAACTGATTATTTCTATCCATGGATAATAATAAACATAAAGACGTTAGAAATCAGTCAATTATTTAAATGTTGATTTTTTCTAGTTAAATAATCAACTAGAGTATCAGAGCACTTTAAGTAAATCTGATTTGTACTGATCACCAGAATATACAGGATTACAAGTAAGTAATATGAGAGGCGATAATTTATTAAGTTTTTATTATGGTCTTAATGGCTGTATACACACATCGGTCATTGATAGTAAACTAGTTCGTTTTATACCTGGATATTTTCCAATACATACTTAGACGATAAATATAATATAAACTTGTTATACGCTAACAAAATGAAGTTTTTCCATCAGCTTAAATCAAAATCTAAATGGTGACTGTGGTAAAAGCATAGTGAAAAAGATTACAGGATAGTTGGCTCATAAGGACAAAGAGTGTGATATATTAGAACTATAGTTTATTTGGCATACCTTAGAATCTTTTACAATGGCGTCATAAACAGAAAGAAATGAACACTTTAAATTCCATTATCAAGGAGTACCAAACAACCCGGCTGGACAGCAATATTAATACTAGACACTACTGAACCAATAATATGTGGTTTAACCATAATTTTTTCCAACTGATATTTTAGCAAAGTGGTTGCCAGATATAAATCAAATCGACTATTAAGTATTGTATATACATTGCAGTAGGATGAAAAACAATGAAAATAGGATCAAAGAAGCCATATCAAAGTGTAATGACAAACAACAGGCTATCCAAAGCTTCATGATAGTAAGAAAATTTATGTGATGTCTGAGGTTGGTCTTGATATTTCGAATGTATTCACTTCCTTTGGCATCGAATCCTACACTTGGCATGGATTCGGAAAACTCGATTGGCTCTTGTCAACTTGCTCACTACATGAAGTAGAAATGCCTATCTAGCAACCAAAGGAGTATTCTGGGTAACACTTCGCTCTATATTACAATATGACTGTGAAACATGACTTACGAGATATTGTGACCAGTGATTTGGGACATTGGGTGACATGACTCAAAATTAATCAGTAGTACAGATGCCATCACTCTTAAATCACATTGAGATTTTGAGCTTCTACATTCCTTCATACATAAATTATTTTCGAACCACAATTTCAATATTTAGTTTTACTTATTATCATTCATACCTCCATTATTCCGGCTTGTTTACTGATCATCTTGTTAGTTTTACCTAACATATACTTTGTGACAAGCTCTACGCTTATTATGACTGAGAAACCCCAAACCAGTTATCCTATATTACAGCTTTATCCTTTATTTTTGACGATGGTTGTACTTTACTCTAACTTGTTATATAGTTGGGAACACAGACACAAATTACCAGTTGATTTTAGAATAGATAACTAAATTAAGCTCCTGTATCCGAACGATCTCATTAAATAAATACGAAGTCCTAAACAGTAGCTAATGGTTAAAAAAAGTAGGATCGAAGCCTGTTTTAAAATTTGCTCACTTTCCGAAGATCGAATATTTCATATCTAACATGGTTTGTTTACTGTAGGTGATGAAAAACTGGGAACCATTAGAATCTGGACCATTATTAGCCATTGACATAATTCCTCGAGCATTATGCTATTGTTAACATAACAATCATTGTTTTATTGCAAATTACCTTTAATGAGTCATGAAATTCATCTTTGAATCGTTTTTTCCAAATACTCTGTCCATTTTTGCCAGTTCCTTAAGAAAACAGGCACATTGGGTTAAAGTTATGCATGCATTATTCACCTTACCAGTAGGATCCCCAGTCTGCACTATAAATCCTTTGATATTACGATGAAATATGCAGCCTTTATAATAATCCGAAGCACATAATGCTAAAAAGTTCTAAAAATTAAGGAAGAGACACATACAAAGACAAAAAACAGGAAAGAACACAAGGATGTATGTACAAGCTAGAATCTTATTTATAAATATTTTTCTATAAAAAATATAAGTTGTTAAAAATAAAAAGATAATTGTTTGTATACATGTTAAGACTGAAAAGAATCTACCAGCTGGTAGTAGTCAGAAACATTTACAAATTTTGATTTGGTACAATCATCTAAATCAGTCAAAGCAAGAAGACCCCATTTAGAATTTTCATTTTTATTGCATTGCATTTCTAAAGTGTCCTGCAGTACACGACATATCTGCACAAACTTTGACCAATGATCTTCATTGATACCAGACCAGATATTACATTGTGGATATGTAGGATCTGGACAGAGTATAAAATGTTTTCCAGGAGTTATCATATGATCCGTATACTCATTATCAGTAGATTCCAGTCGTGGTGTTAAACAGCCATTACGCAGGTCAATGATTATGTCACATGGTTTTATGCTGCATACATAAACTAGGAAGTTACCCAGTAAATCCTCCATAGATGGAAATGGGTTAAGATCAGGGAAATGAAGGTGGACAGAAAAAGCACTTGCACTATCCAATGCGATGGAATTTTCAATGAGCGATTGTAGACGAATAAACGAAGGAGCATAGTTTGAAACTTGTAAAAAGTTAATAAAGAGTGAAATTAATTTGAAATTAGTAAATCCAGGACTTGGACCATTACGAGTTAAACGCAGTTTACGAGCTAGATATTTTATCAGAGCTACGGACTTTGGGATTTCAGGGATACATAATGTTAGGAAATGAAGTATTTCAGCCATTTTAGTCCCATGATGTGTTGATTCCCCATTATTTACCAAAGTAGATTCGGTAAGCGATGAAATATCCAAGCCAACTTTGAGAATACTAATTCGATCCGAATGGATAATGGGAACTCGACCATGGTATACTTGCGAGTATTTAAATCCTAACGGATCCAACTTTCTTAACATCCTCTGTAGAAAATATAAGAATTTGTTCTTTAAAAAATCTGGATCCAATGATATTATTTTTGTTCGAAATAAATCCGATGTCATACAATTTGGTTTGGAATCACAAAGATACTGTAAATTGTCATAATTTAATGGTAGTTTAACAACAAGGTCTATGTCTGAACTAATTGATCCTAAACCATTGAGCACAGAACCAAATATTGAAACTTCTGTCCCACGAAATATGAAACCCAGGATTTCTTCAATACTGTCACTTAGAACAAATCTAGCCAAAATATCCTGTTCAGTTAAACGTGTGAGATGATAAAGAGTGGAAACTTGATCATCAAATGATTGACAAGACATAAGTATACTGGTCATTTCTTTCGAAGACGGGACAGATGGACGGATAGAAAGATTTGATTCTACACACAATCGACCAGGATATTGATAAGAAGAATATTTTTCTACATTCTCAACCGGCCAAATTGATGGATCGGAGTTGATGCGAAACATTGGAAGCCTGAACATACTCTTTTTTCTCTCTGAATTTACAACACAATGTATACAGTGAAGTGACGGAATTTTGTGCAAAGTATAGCGTAGAGATTCGGGAGACGAACTTTGAATCAACAAAGTGCCAACTGGTTGAATTCCATTTTGCGATGGCCAGTAAACAGCACGGTTTACGGACCCTCCTATCTTCAGAAACTTATCAATTATATAGGGTACGCTGGTCGGTGAACAGGTCAGTAGGATACTTCTCCTAGCTAAACTTCTGTAGACAGCTGAATTAAGTAGCATAATCGCCAACTTGTACTACAGAAAAACTATCAAAAAGACTAACAAAAACTGAAATAATAGTCAGTCTTACCTCTGAAGCTAAGGGTGCCTGCATACAAAATAACTCCACTTTTAAATCTCCCAAGTCTGTATGGAGTGTTACTGCCTGGAAATGAGTAAAAACAACAAACAATTGGAAATATTGTTAAGTATCAGGCATGCTAATGGCTACAAATTAATGACAACTTACAGTAAGTTGTAGTTTTTCAGGTCGGATGTTATAAAAACATTTGAGAGTTATATATGTATATGGACCTAAGTGTATTTTAACAGTTCATCAGATTGTCTTGCAAAACAAGCATTTAACACCGAGAAAAGTTTACTAGGTTTGTTGTAATGAATGGAAGCAACACTATGAATTGGTCCGTTAATGAATTAGACAATAGTAGTTCGCTAGCCCTTAAAATCAAGTGTTAGAGATTATTGAAGTGCTGTTGTTGGAAGCAAGTTTAGCTTAGACCCAGCACACCAGTTTTTATTAGTCCTAATATAATGGCATTGTGGAGAGTCCTACGGAAGTTTAGATACTTTGACTCTGACCTGCATTTAGATTATCGTTACTGTGAAGACCAATTCAATCTACAAAAATGTTTGGGAAAAAAGGAAGTCTTCAGTTGGAAATGTTTATTTTTTGGAATTTTTTACATAAATAATACATTTCTTATCACCGACAGCAGTTAGTGAGATACATAGCCATGTATGAAAGGTATTCCAGTAGAAACCAATTTTTGATACTTTCGATAATTTTCTCCGAAAAAATCTACTAGTGCTTTTTCTTCGGCATATATTCTTCTTTTGAAAAAAACAAATGTCACTACAGTATAAGCGACTAGGCACAAGGGATTGATGAGTAAAATCTGAGTACCAATGCACCAACAGAACCAACCAACATAAGCCGGATGACGAAACCACGAGTAAACTCCACTTGTTACCAACTGATGTTTGCGATTCTTTTCGAACTGCACATAATGATTGAAATTCCCCCCAGCTGTGAGCAGGGCTAACTTACGTAGAACTTCGCCGAAAATGCACATCCCAAATCCGAGACAATTAAAAACAGTAGTACTCCATCTGTATGATGAAAATACGTCGTATAATAAGTAATGCTTTAGCCAGTACTCAAGTACACTTGCAGTAAGGGCCAAAAGATATTCAGAGCTATGTGTGAGCATATATATATCTAGTGAACAATTGCTCAGGTTGTAAATGGAAGTAAAATAAAACTCGGACCAGTGGAAAAATGCAAGGAAGTCAAGATAGATTCCAAATATACAAAATTCACTTTGAATCTTCATCATGGCAGACTCAAAAGCGAAGAATGACCCGAGACCGAAAACACAGCCTAAAAGATATGCGCGCCAAAAGTTTCCAAAAACAGAGCACTGGTGGACGCCACTAACAAACTTGTTTATGTTAGACACAACAAATAACAATGCAGGTATTAGTAAACAACTTTGTAAGAAGAGAGACCTAAAAATACAATTTAGCACTGAAGAGGAAACATCAATGTGAAGAAGAAACAGAAACAAAGTGCAACCACATACGAAGCTCCAAAGAGACACGAGAGGATCCACACTAAGCACACGACCCATAGACGACTTGATACCCATTATGAATGTAGCGGTCTGCGTTTAGCTACAAGATATTTTGTGTACCATGGGAGTAATGGGAGTAGCGTGAATGAAAGGGACTGGAAAAAAGAAAAACAAAAGAGGTGAGTCAATGATCCAACAAGTACACACGATACACTTACATTTATCAAGAAAAGCATTTAACAACATTCAGAAATAACACAAGCCTCACATTACTGGTCTTGCAATCAAAACTAGAAGCACATGTCTTAGCGTCACGACAAAAAAGTCAGGCCGTTTCGAAGCCACCCGCCGTTCGGTTCTCACAACCTTGAAATGTGTGACAAGAGGCGGTCATTACATATTTCAAATCCTGAAGGTCTGTTGGGTGTAATTTTAGTTGCAAAAATACCGGTTTTTCATATGTAAGTGGTCTTTTGCTGCAACAAAACCACACAATCATTGCGAAAAACAATTATTTAGCTCTCTCTGTTTCAAAGTGCACACGTTGGACCGGTTGTTGCTTCTTAACTTCCTAATCTCCCCATCTGGAGAAACTTTTGTCCGGTTAGGGAGATTTGGGGGACGATTTTGGTCGAGAACGTTCTGTTTTGTTTGCTTGTAAGCAAGCCAAATTGAGAGCAGATGTAACCTGGGTCGTATCGTTGCCGTCATATGACGGCATTTATATGCTACTGACATACATAGGAAGACAAATTTTTACAGGTTCAAATGGTTCAAATGGTTGAGGATGGAATAGAGGAAGCTTTCGCTTAACGGGCTTCCGTGTCTAGTAGCAGTGGATCGATTACGAAATAAAAACTGTGTGGTTCGTCATATTCTTGGACATTGCAGTCAATACAAGATTGATAACACTCACACCTTTCATAGTAACGACAATTTCACTACCCAGACAAAGCAAACAATATGTATAGATTCAACGAAGCCAATTTTTACTTAAAAATCATCAATAAGTAGGCAAGACTAGTTTCTCTAACACTTGTCTTTGTGTATTATTCTTTAAGATTGAAAATATGGATCGGGATACAATAAAGTGTGGAGACGTGACAGCAACTGCTTACTATAAGAAGTTATTTGTAATAATATTTTTAACTTAACTATATACCCAACTTGTAAACTGATCTTTCTGCATCAAATGTTTCTGCTTCTGTACCAGTAGTAACGATGCATCAACAAACTCTTGCCCAACATTTTTCGTCTTCGTAGTTTAATGGTGAGATATACCGATAATCTTAAGGGGCGACTGTTTGTGAAAATTGAAAACAACTAAATATTTGCTTTATAAGTACCCGTTTCGCTATGATAACTTGTGGTACTGCATCAATTTGGAAGTTTCTCTAGAATATTGCACTGTATATATAATTTTCGTCACTATGACAGTATATTCGAATGGATACTTGTGGCACTGTGGCATCATGTGTAACTTATTACTATTTACATTCAACATATTATTCTATCACTCGGTGTTCTTTAGAAGTACTAAATATCGTTGTTAATTATCACGATACGGTGAGTCAATTTAGACAATGATGCGACTTCCACTCAAGATTTTACAGATTAGGCTGTGAAGATAGGCAAATTTGCAGAGGATAGATAAACAGTAGCGAGGCCCGAGAAAGACGGACGCGAGCTACCAGCTATGTATTTAGCAGCAAGGCATTTCAACTTTCTATTACAAGGACGCGATTTTACTGTAATGACTGATCATAAACCTTTATAATACTCTCTTAACACGTAGTACGACAGAACCTCACCACACGAAGCAAGACAACTAGACCACAATTCACAATCCATTACAGGTATCCAGTTCATCAAAAAACACTCTAACATTGTCGCAGACGCCTTATCCAGAAAGGACATCAACATACTGGTACACAAACATGACATTAGTCTCGAAACTATGTCAAAACTACAGGTAGACGATTCAGACCTGAAAACCTGTGAAGACAAATCTGACTTGAGTCTCAAGCATGTACCTATTTCCTTCTCAGACTCATCTATCATTTGCGACATTTCAACTGGCAATATCGCCCCTTTATACCAAAAACTTCTCGGCGACAGATATTTCAACATTTACACAAACTTTTACATCCGTGAATCCGAACCACCAAGAAACTCATCACTGAACGTTTCGTCTGGCCCAAAATTAAGTCGAATATAAAACGTTGCATACAGCGTCAACGCAGCAAAGTCCAGGGACACTCAATCGGTGCGATCGGGAAATTCCCACTACCCGACAAACGCTTTCAGCATATTCATTTAGACATGGTTGGTCCCCTGTAACAATCGAAATTCTTCACGCATATTCTTACAGCGGTAGACAGGTTCACAAGATGGGTGATAACATGCCCTACCATAGATACATCCGCAGTAACAGTCACATCTGTTTTCCTTGACCGTTGGCTATCAAACTATGAAGGGCCTTCAATCATTACTACAGACCGTGGTCCACAATTTAAATCCATCCTATTCCGTGAGTTTACTAGACTTCTGGGTGTGAACCACATCAAAACAACAGAATATCCCCCAGCAGCCAAAGGCCTGGTTGAGAGATTCCACCGCCAACTGAAAAACTCACTGACGGCACAATCTGACACATAAAAGTGGAGTGACGCTTTACTGCTTATGCTCCTTGGAATTCATTCAACCATCAAGGACGATATAGGATGCACAGCCGCTGAATTAGTTTATGTTACAATATTAGCATTGCCAGGTCAACTAGTCAACCAAGAATCAACAACATCAAGTAATCCTAATTGCTTTGTTTGCAAACGATGCAAAACATCAAAGCAATACCTCCGCGAGAATATAACAATCGCGTGCAACTTAATAAACGCCTGGAAACGTGTAAATTCGTTTTTGTTCGAGTCGATGCTGTCAAAAAGCTGTCGAAGCAACCGAATTAGGGGCTTAATAAAGTAATTAAACACACAAGCGTACACCTCATCATCAACAGAAGTAGGAGCTATTTCTATAGATAGAATAAAACCAGCTTTCTACGAAGCTCAACAAGGCAAAGAAGATAACACTGCAGATAAACAACCCCTCTCATTAATTATTGTGAGATTAGAGGAGGATGAAAACTGAACACTAAGGGTAATTGTTTAATACTTTTTGGCAGGAACGTGGAGAAACCTAAGCGTTATGTACATTTTGTTGAATAGTTAAAATCAAAACAAACATTCATTGATTTGCATTACACTGTTAAATTTACTCAATTCTCTAATAAAAACTATTTTTTTCTTTTCTTCACACGTGCATATAACTAACCACATTTCTCTACAATCAATCGTTTTGCCACATCAAAAAAAATTTGTAATAATAAAAGACTGAATTGTAGTTAATTATTTATTAATTGTACATTAAAATAAACAATCCAATTTGTATTTAGTGAGTTTATCAACAGTTTCGCACTTCATAATAATTAGCTAAGATACTGATCGTATTTTCGTTCTTTTTGTTGTGATCTAGTACGTTCACGCACACTAACACTTTGTGTATTACTGACACATACGATATTATTACTTTATTTTTTGTTACGACCTATTGTTACCTCCGGACACTTTGGGGGAGCTATGTGGAGGTAGGCATAACGAACCTATTTTGTAAATAGTTTTTGATATTATTTGCATTTATTTTTTCAACTTTCACAATCTGTACATTTACCACAAAATGATTGTACATGTTGTTTGAGTTTATGGTCATGAACACACTCCCGTTTTTGAATCCCGCATAGCATGACGTTGTTAACCTCCCATAAATACACTTATACACACGCCTCTAGTTCTCCATTGCATGTGGTTTTGATAATGGGACCATAAAATAACTTTCATCTATATTTATGGACTGTGGTAAAATTCCCATTATATTTTACGTTTGGCTATATTGCTGGAGCCATATCAACCTCCCTGGAATTATTAGTTATCTATAATTGTGGATTCTGGTACCGAACTCAGCAGAACACGCACCAGTCAGCTGATTTAAGTAACGTCTCTTAACTTTTATTTGTGTTCATAACTTATATACCGTATGCTATTGTATTAACATTTGGGCGTAATAACCTTATTGCTATTTTTGAGTCAATATACTTTTAGGTCCGCCACAAGGCAATCACATGACAAATTTACCGTTTTCGGATTAAATCTATTATCAAAGTAGTATCAGTACCGAATCAGACTATGGTTCTACATACTAAAAAGATCTATAATGCAGAAGAATTTATAGTTGTTATATCTATATTTAAATAATTCATTAGATGAACTGTGGTAGTAGTCAGTATAAAACACAGTTATCGTCAATTTCAAAATTGTTCCTCCACATAATCTTCCATATTCAGAAATTCGCTAACTTGTTCGCCGACATAGACTTGACCATTAGAAAGGGAGCGCTGGAAGTGGGTAGGACACACATTGAGGAAGGCACACAAATGCGTCACAAGGCAAGCACTCAAATGGAATCCTGAAGGTCAAAGGAGAATAGAGGACCAAATAACACATCACTCCGAGAAATGGAAGCAGACATGAGAAGAATGAACGAAAATTGGATAGAATTAGAAAGGAAGGCCCAGGATAGAGTGAAGTGGATAATGCTGATCGGCGGCCCATGCTTCATTGGGAGTAACAGACGTAATTAAGTAAGTAATGCCAATATCAGATGACCAGCTAAACCGAATACTACTATAACAATAAGCACAACTTGATGCGCAAATGTAGTTGTTGGAGACTCTGATGCAACCGTTTAACAACCATTACTCGATTTCACAAGCTGTTTCAACCACCTCTTGTGATGCAGTTGCTAGCAGCATCCCGGAATTCATCTATCATCCCGAAAGTGGAAATACCTTTCTCAAGTGGTTTAAGCGTTGGGAAGATACATTTAGATTATAATTCTGTAAACAAGATGACGCATAGAAGACTCCATTGTTGATGTGTAAGTTGGGAGGCAATGAACATCTGATTTGTTATTACTATTCTATGATTAATATTTTGTTTTCCTTTTCTTTCCTTTCTCAAACATGG